TGAACAGATGCAGACTCAATAAGAGAGGCAGAAGAAGCATTAAAGAGGTTAGATGTAGAAGTAGATGGCTGTGGTTCCTCATAGCAAGACTGAGTAGCTGATGGTGATGAGGTAATTTGGGTCTCATCATTACGTCTTCCTGTACTTGAGGTATCTTTGGTCACATGGCATTGGTTTTCTACATTAGCTTCTGCAGCTGGAAGGGGGGAAAGGGAAGAAAAATATCTGTGCAACAGTCACCACTTCATGGTTTCAAAATTCTAAACTCTCTCAAGAGGGTTAAATTAGTCGTTGGAGCTTAGCTTCTCTTCATGGATCTTGCATTACTTCCTTACCTACTGGCTCTTGCGTTGCTTCTTGTTCTTGTTTTATGTTTAAGGATTCATAAAGATATGCAACATCTGAAAGAGAGGAAAAAATACTGATCAGAAACTTTAAACAAAAATTAATTAACCTTCATCTCACATAAACAACTTCTATTCACAAGTGGCTGCTTCCCCAAAGGGTCTGACAATGGGAAAGGCAAAAAAGGGGTCACCTCTATAGCACAGTGTTAATACTCCTACTTAGGAGGCAATTAGGAACAGCACAGCAAGTTCTTTTCTTCTCAGGAAACCAGGCAGAGCAGCTTTTGGGTGACGTTTAACTTGTGCTAGCCATGGAACCAGAGGCTTAATCATTTCTTAAACCTTAAATCTGTTCCATGTCAGAAGAAACTGTATTTTTACTGATGCTTCAATTAAAATTCTTTGAAGAAGCTTATTATTTATGACTTCACTTCTCAACTTCTTTGATCAATTTTATTTCATTTCTTTGCAAGATACATGAACTCTCAAATATACAGATTAAGACATCCTATAAATTTCATCCAGAAACTAATTTAGTATCTATTAATAAAACCAACTGGATAATATCCATTTCTTCTCCATCCTACTTCAACCTAAATACAGTTCCTAAGATTCCCCTAACTTGCTACTATTTTTTCATTTCCAACCAACTAGAAGCAAGTAAGAATCTTGGTTTGTTTCTTTTTCTGATCAAAAGTTAAAGAGTATTGTCTGCTTCAGACCTATTCAGAATGTCCAAATATGCATACAAAACCTAAATTCTCTCTGTCTCTTTGAAGACAGAGATGCTGAAAAAGCAAAACTAGAAGCTTGGTAATTCAAATACTTCTTAGCCCAAAAGGAAACCAATGACTCAGTTCATTATAAAGTACCTGGAAAATTCACATATCTGAGTTCTTCCAAGTAGCATCAACTGCAATAGCACCATCTTAAAGAGGATTTGTGAGATGAACAAGCCATAGAGACAAAGAAAGCTTATTGCTGCTTCTTGTAGCATGTACATCAGACAGCATAAATCTGTCTGATCTGTCTATATATATAATTAACAGCAACTTCATTAAGGAAGCATTTCAGTAGTGAGTATGCATATATGTAGGATTTTGTAGACTAACAGTTCATATGTCTATTACTGTATGAAAATTGTAAGCACAGTATTTTGTTTCAAATATCATGCTGTAAATATTTCTAATACACCCTCCCATCTCCCACTACACCCAATTATCTTCACAATAATAGGGGAGCTTATGAACATACTAAGTCTTCTATTCACCTTAAAGTTCCTCTTCAGAGCTATCATATGCAGTGATGAGAATTAACATTTAAAATGTCTCTTTTATCTAAAAAACTTTTTCAGAAGTGAGTGCACTCTACTAAAATTTAAATATTACATACTTCACACTTAAAAGAAGAATTGCATGCTAATGGGACAGAGCAGTCAGCTGGGCCACAATACATATGTAAAAACAGAGCTTGCTCATTCCCTCTCTCCCCCGTTTATCAAAGCTGAATCCCATCTGTTATTTCATAATAATGAGCAATTTGATTCTTTCTGTAAATCTTTTAAGTCAGTGTTGGATTTAATGATCCTGTAAAACTGAAGTGAAATGAAATGAAAAGATGAAAACTCTGCTGCCTCGACAGTTATCACTTCCCAAATACTTAATGAACATCTTTAAGACAGATGCCAACACAGATAATTAATGAAATATTTCTTTCCTTCCACTGTAAAACCAGAGCATTTACACCTAAAGTTTGGTCCCTGACTTTGACCCAGTTAAAACATGAAAGAATTACTTCCTGCCCAACAACAGTTTGGCTTATTTAAAAACCTTTAAGGAAGGATCCCAATTAGTTATTAAAAAAACAAACAAACAACCTGATTATGTTATTTCAATTTCACCTTGAAAAGAATCCCTGAAAAGAATTATAGGTATGCTTCTGCTTTAGGGCTACACAACTATTTTGCCAAGTTTACTAATTCTACTTTCACTATAGACTTTTCCCCACCTCCCCCTCATTTTGTCTCTTCTCCTAAAAAAAGCCCAAACCCAACACAAAACAAAACACTTCTGCTGCCTTTCATTCTGATGCCAAAAATTGCTTCAATATGATATGTAAAGTAACACTAACTACCCCAGCAATTTGACTTCTACAAGAAGCACTGAGCATGTGCTCATTAATTACCATTCCATAGATTAGTTCTTCCAAAACTACTTCTAGGCACATTTCAATTTCAGACAGTTGTTGAGACTTGTCCCTGTAAAAACTGGCACATCCTGAATCTCTTCTATAGAGATTTGGTTTTAAACACTAACAAATTATTTATCTTAACATTGAGTAGTTCTGTTTTAATTGTACTGATACTTCTTTTGCCTCATGACTCAAAACTAATGGCTAAACATGTCATTTAAAACATATAATTGACTTACTGTTCTCTGGCTCATTTTTTCTGTAAACAACATAGATCACATCACCAGTCTGTAGAGGGTATGTCTGCTTCTTCACCACTTTCAGTTTATTAATTACTGTTCCATTAGTACTGTAAAGAGAAAGAAAAGATAACTCAGCAAAAATGTTTTCATAATTACATAGGAGGACGGGAAAACACAAGATACTTTCAATGATTGAAGACTATTGGCTCTCAAAACAAACAAACTACAATTGAAAGCCAGAATTTAAAAAAGTCCAGGAAATTACACTGAGTAAGAGAAAAAGGTACATAATTGCCGATTAATGGGGATATTAATGGAGGTATTAGTTAATGCTGATCAATAGAGGTTCCTTCACTATCAGTGATGTTTTATACACAAGCTATTAGTGCTTTATAACAGAGTCCAGTTTATATTGAATAAAGTTTATATTGAATAATTCCAACCCAGTTGCCATAAGTCTCCTTCAGGGCTACAGCATTCTAGAATCTCAGACTTTTGCCATCAAAATCTCAGTAATTAGTACCAAATATAAAAGCAGAGAAAATCTGCCTCTTCCCCTCAGGAAAGCAAGCTTCTGCATGAAATAACAGTAAACCTCTGCTGCCACCTCCTGGAGGCCACCACTTGTGTCCAGGACCCAGAACAGCCTTCCTCTTAACAGCCCAGTTTCCCTCTGGAAGAGGGACGATTATTTTGAAATAAGTACCTTCCCTTCTCATTATTTTTCCTTTAGAAATCAACCTGGAAAAATCTCTTCTCATCTAGTAAAATGTTGAATCAACTAATCCAGCGTAAATAACAAGATACCCCAAAATAAAAATGCTACTTTAAACATCAAGAAAAGAACAGAAGTCTCTGAGTCACAATGGTATTTGCTCGATGAAAGAATCTTCAAGTTTCTCCAACAAGCAAGAAAACTATTTTAAGTTTGCCTTTTACCTCAGCTGCACAGATGATGACTAGCCTGAAAGTCATAAGCACCAAAGAAAAAGCAGAGCAGAGACATTACCACAAGAATGTCAAAGTTTAACAATTTAGAGGAAAAAAGAATTTTAGTCAGTGTTAGAAACTATACTCATTTTTAACTTAACATTGATGCTAGTGGTAATATATTAAAAATACTGTTAAAGAAAAATTGCACCTCCTGTAATTATATAAAAAGTGAAAAGCTTGTAACATTCCCTGAAACCTCTCAAAGGTTCTTTGACAAAACTAAGAAACATCAACTTTGACCTCCTTAGTTTTCCAGAAGGCAAAACCAAAGCATGCATCTCCCATCTGCCAGAAGAGTTTTAGACCTTCTTTTGTTATAAATGAGCTAAACCCAAGTAGCAAGAATTGTCTCTTACTGAGGTTTAGCATCTACAGGCAACCCTTAGTCCAAATATTTCACTAAACATACAGGAGAAAGCCACAATGTACTTAGTGAAGTTGCACTCTTGTGACTGCAAAGTTCCAAGAAGGTTATAAGTGACAGTAACTCAAGTGAGGCATTCTTGGAATAACATTTTTTAATAAATAATAAATCATTTCAAAAAAATCACTACACATCTAGTAACCACTTGTGCTTGATCTCACCAGACAAGCTGCAGAAATAGCTACCCAAGACCTTCACTGCCAAATGGGCTACAAACAGGCAAATCAGTTTTGCAGTTATGCTGACTTCAGTGAGAGTTGGCAAAGTAATTATTCGGCATTCTCAGGCCTAAATTAAGTAGAAACAAACTGATGCTACTTAACACAGAAAGCCATAAACTACTTCAGTTTGCTAATGTATTTAAGAAAAGTTTATTTATACCTCAGTCCACAATCAAAGGGAAAAAAATATCCAGCTACCCCAGATAATTGTATTAGTCTTTCATTTCCAGTTTCAGCATGAGGTATTTCACAGATACTGTAACATATCAGATTAATGTTGTGGCTATTTTTTAACCAGATACACATGATAAATATGACATTTGTGCACTCCTCTGATGTTTCAAATAAAAGTAAGGCCCCCATAAAATAAGCAGAAAGTACAATGAGAATCCTAAATATGAAGGCCATTCATCAGGACTCAATGTTGAATCTGCACCAACTGGCTGTGTAATTTTTGAGGTGGAGAAGAAAAATGGTACTATCAGATATAAATTATCTGCACTGTGAAACAATGTCACAAAAGGTCCCCATGTCACTTTTCTAAGGAGTAGAAGGAAAAAGGGTCAGTCCTTGACTCAATTCCAAGGTGGCTGATGAATCTACAGTTTAATTAATGAACCATATATTACCTTTACTTCCCAATCTCAGATGTTGTGAAGAATTGATGTGAACAAATACATTTCACTAAGAACACACTTACTTTTAAAGAAGGTGAATGATCTATGTGTTTTAAGATACTTTGTTATCTTTCCAGGAAAACGCCAGTCTTGCTTTATAATAATTAGTAGCACTCATCCAAGAAAAGAGTGGTATTGTAAAACTTCTTAGTTAATAGTTTTAGAAGTTATCTGCTATTTAAATCCATATTATCCTGAACACATTGTAAACTGAGTTTTGACTTCTAGTAAGTTACAGAATCCCTTCTGTACTATGTGAGTCTCCATTCTTGTTATGTTTACATGAACAATTTTTTGGGTGAGGAGAATTTAGCAGCAGAAAGGACACCAGTGCTAACTGAAAATGAACATCCAATTTACTCAGGGAAGGTGAATATCTGCTTGATTCTCACAGGAGTATCAGCCTTGTGTTAATACACCTTTCCCACTCTGAAACATCACTTACTACTTAGAATCCTTTCTTAAAAAAAAAAATTAGTGAGAAGACACGAGGAGGTCCTTTAAAAAATTTAGTTGCCTTTAAAATTTCTGTTTCAAAATGGATAATGTTACAATTGCTTTTACTTAAGACAAGCCAACTACTGCCTCCACTGTGCTCAGCTTCTATAATTTATTTTCTTTCAAGCAGTATAAAGCAATTAGTGCATAGTTTGGAAAATAAAGCAAAAACACATCCCAAAAAAGGGCAAATCTGTGAATATTTTATTGTACTATTTGCTAACTCTTGACTTTTGTTACTTCCAAACTTCTATTTACAATTTTGAGTTCTCTACACATTTCCTTTTACCTGCAAATTTATGGTAATTCCTTCCAAAGTAGATCCAATAACTCATTATGCTACCAGGGAGAAAAACAATTCTGGTTTTCTACATATATTTGATTATATTATTTGGTTTAGATGCAATACAGAAACAAAGTCTACTTGGTTCAACTGTCCCACAGTAGCTGCCTCCTTCAATGCATTCCTCTTCACCAGAAAAATCTGAGCTTGACCACAGCAATGTTTCCAAACTATTTTCCACTTTGGAGAAGAAAAAGCTGATGCTGCAGTATTTTTCTGGGACTCTGGGCATCCATAGTGCCAACTGAAACATTCAAAAATCTTCTTTCAGCCTGCTTGATTTTTTGGAGCTTGTCTGATACTTGGCACAAACATTGGAAGACCCAGAAGAGCAGACAGTCTTCTGCAAATAGTCCTATCAACAAATGGTAGCCACATTTCACACTCACAGGCAAGCAGAACACAAAGAATATTAATCTTTTTTGTTAGATGTATGGATCTGTAACATGCATAAGCAGCTAATAGCCAGTACTCCATAGGTGCAGCCTTTCTATAAACTATAATTGTAAAAAGCCATACCTTTTCACTAATATATCAAAGAAAATTAGCTTTAATTTGGCTTTGCTGGTTTTCTGCTGGCTGCCTTGGGGGTGCATGTGTATGTACAGGGAGGGGGGAAAGGCAGGAATGTTTCTGTGTCATTTACACTTCCTTTACTTTGTATTACCATGACATTGGTCTAAACCAATTCTACCAGCTATATGCAACTGTATGATGGATGGTTTTTCTGAAGGATGGTTTTTCAAGCTTAGATTTACAGCTACACTCTGAGCCTGGCGGAGTAGGCAAATATGGCCCATTTTGTTGTTTGAAACATAATGAAATTTGGGATAACACCAGAGAAGGACAATTCTAAGTCATTTCCTTGCCAGCCAAGCTAGGCCTGATATTTTTCCCTAAAATTTAGCATTTCATCCCACAGCTTCTGAGAGTATAGGCCCTCCAGGGATCTATCAAGAGCAAGCTAGAGGAATGGGTTGATGGGAATGTCATGGCATTCAGCAAGGGCTAACTCTAAGTCCTGCACCTGGGATGGAATAACCACCTGCAACAGTACAGACTGGAGACCAACCAGTGAAGGCTCTTGGTAGATCTTATGACTAAGCATAAGCTCATACACCTTGGACTCATGCCCAGGCTTCAGTCAGCAGCACGCTCTGGCAGCGATGAAGGCCTACAGCACACTTGGCTGTATTCACAGGGGTGTAGCCTGAAACTCAAGTGAAGTGATTACTATTCCCATTTACTTGGAATTAATTAGTCTACATCTAAAATACTACATCTAGTTTTGGGTGACCCAGTCCACAAGATAGCCAGCAACATAGCTGAACTAAATGACCTCCTGAAGTCTCTTCCAACATACATGTTCTGTTTGACTTGAGCAAATAAAATAAGAAACACACAGCCCATGTGTAATACCTGGAAGTGGGTTCCTCATCCTGAAACAGACTTCTTTCAGTATCAACATGGCTGCTAATTGATCAAGAGACAGAAAAGGTACCAAGGCGCAAAAATTCTGAGGAAAGAAAAACATTAGCTAAAGCCTATAAATTCTGCCAGTGCCCTCCAAAAGCATGCATGCCATTCAATTAGACAGCTCAAAGGTTTTTCAGAATATTCTTGGAGGGATTCTTGTCAAAAGCTCAGCAGTTGTTTGACACTAACCCTGAGATGCCAGAACAATATATCTAGTTTTGTTTTGGTATGTTGAAACAGGAATTTGGCATGATACCCTTCAAAACCTCAACCATGACATTTCCTCTTTATGTAGGTACATCAACGTATTTAGAAGGGACCCTGTCATCTTTGGGTAAAATGCTTTCCAGACATGAAAAATGGGAGGAGCTTGCAGAAAAGCATTATTTGGTTTTTTACTGACTGCAATAACCTGGCAGAAAAATAATGTCGTTTACAGAAGCATTTTAAAATGTCAAGAGTTCTTGACATGCAATAAACCAGAAGCTTCCTGCAATCTTAGACAAAAAAGTCCTGTCAAAAATGAAGCAAATGAAATTTTGAGGAGAGTTGCAGTCTCCTCCCGGGAAATACCCTTTGATTCAAATTCCTATCAGAAATTTTCTAGAAGAAACTAGAAAACAAACTAAAATTCACTGGAAACAACCCACAACCACTGCAGTGCTATTTGTACTCCCACAGTAGCCTCAGAACTCCACAGGAAACAGTCTCACCAGTACAGCAAGTTCCTGGCCCTCAGTATGTGAAGAAGCAAGTAATTAACTTGATATACTAAAAGTAGATCCACTAAATTAAACTTAAAATTTTAACAGTAGTTCCAGTAAGTTAGGTGCTTAAATTTTTCTACATTAAGGGCCTTAATTCTCCCAACACTAACTTAACACAGAAACATCCAGAAAAGAAATACAATTCAAATAACAGTAGAATCTAGCAAAAATATTTAATTATTAAATTAGATGGAATCAGCTCTAATCTCCATCTGACATCCCTGCCACGACTGCTAGACAACTACAGAACCCACAGTATAGAAGGTATTGGTATTTTGAATACCAGAAAAATGTATAACAAGTACAGATTTTCACTCCACATCTATTTTATGCTTTGAGATCATCATTTCAGGTATTTTCTTCCCTACAAAAGTGCCTAACACAAGGTACATTCATGCTTAGAGCTTTTAAGAATGCTGCCATCACTTTTTTTACAGGTCTAAAGAAATTTGTTACAGAACCATTACACCAACACTATTTTATATGCAGTATACTATGAATTGCTTTGTAGAGAACAAGATATTTAGAAGGAGGAAAAAAAACTAATCTAGATGTAAAAGCAGGAAAAAAATAGAAGAATTTACTATGGATGCTCTGAGTAATGCACAAAGTTTTACTTCACAGACTAAAAAAATCCAGAGTAGAAGTTCACAGAAGAACCAACCTTGTATCTTCCAGTGACACTTGACCAGATTCTTCATCCACTACAATTTTACAGTGATCTCCAGACACCAACTTGTTGCCAGGGAAAGATAAGTCACAACCTTAAAAAGCAAGCAGATTTTCCAGCATGCTTAAAAATACACGTTACTCAGACAGATCAGCCTTCTACATGGCTATAAATGCACAACCAACTGACTCATGTACATCTGCAATAGTTAAAAATGACTGGCATATAGGCAGCAACACAGTCTAGTACAGGAAACATAGATAGCTGCATGTGAGTCAAGCTTATTTCAACCATTACAAGATGTTTTAATTCCCTTTCCCCCCCCCCCAGTTCTAACCCTTACAGATGGAAACTAAATCAATCACAATTACTTTGTTCTACAGTTGATCAATCTAAATTCTAGAGGCATACATCACAGAGCACCCAGCTCTTTTTCCACCCCATTGTAACTGTTTCATTGGATTTAACTTCTGCTTCATCCAGTCTATTGGGGGGAAGTAGCAAAAAACAATGTCTAACAAATGAAAGCATCACTGTTCTATGTTAAAGTATTTTTCTTTTGTTTACTTTAAAACAGAAGCATTCTTCTGTGTTGACAGCACTATTACATTAATAAAGCTGAAGGGAGATTGAAAATCCAGAATAAGATTTAGGGATAACACAGGAGAAGTGGAATGACCACGCTGACATGAAATCTTCCTGTCTACAACTCCAGGGCTCTGAGCAAATTTATTACTTCATTTTAACTACGAAAGTTCAAGGCAATGCTCAAGGTTCCCCACTCACCTACCTCACAAATGACTCAAAGCACTTGCTTTCACAAAAGCTATAATTAACAGACATGATTCACTTCCACCTATTGTTGCTGCACTGTATGTCAGCCTGCAAGAACAACATACCCAGAAAGTAGTAGCCACTACACATGCTGGTGGCAGTTCATCACTAGTCCACTCCTAATATTCAACGAACAATCAACAGCTACAGAGTTAACTGTTGCCACACACCTTGTGATGCCAAGAAGCCCGCTGAAAGTGAGCAGACTGAATTTTACTCAGGACCACAGCAACATTTCCATTCTGTTTTGTGCAGTAAATTTTTACATGGGAGCAGGAAGGACAAAATGCTCTAAACAAGCATTTCTAATGTTCCTGAAGATTTCCTAGGTAATAATTTTGCCCCAAAGTTTGGTATTCTTGTAACCATTCATTTTATTAATCCATTAGCAAACAGTTATGGAAGCAATGGAATACACCAAGATTAACCTTCTTTTCTGCAAGATAACCCTCAACTAGACCTCAATTTGAAGACTTTATCTACAGCTTAGGTAATGATAAGCAATCTAAATGTTTATTACCAAATGTAAACAGGCAAAACATGTTTCCTGCAATACAGTATCTGAATCTCTCATAGAGCTACAGTATCTGGTATCTGTTCAAGCCTATTTACAGAAGGTGACTGGTCAGTCAAATAGCTTGAAATGAAGAATAGGAAGCTGAAAATTAGTGCTGTCAGGGCAGAGTAAAAAAAAAATAAAAATTAAACACTGTGATGATTGTTTTAAATACAGTAAACATTAAATCCTTTAAAATAAAGGAAACTAGCAAAAGCCCTAGTAGGCTCTGGAAACAGAGCTTTCAAGTCCACTCCCAGAGAAACTTTCAGTTCTTGTTGGCAATCTTTACATGGCTAGAAGAATTCAGGGCTTTTATGTGGGCGTTTTCTTTTCTGTGAGGCAAAAGCATTTTGCATTGCAGTTCCAACTTATTTCAACCACAGAAACAAAATGAGAACGTAAACAGGGAGGATACATGGAAACTTTTCTGAGTCAACAATTGTTTTTTCTTATTTGTACAAACTGTTACAGATAACCCAAAAGGCACATTCCCTTTAAACATGCCCATAACGAGTGAGTTAAAAAAGGTCAGTGTAAAACTTCCTCTTCACACAGAGCCAAGAGGTAACTAGGAATAAGGGACCGCCAGGCAAGAGCCTCCAACAGCTGAAAGCACCAAACCCAACTAGTTTCAGTCCCACCTCCCAGTGTTTTTAAGGTCAGGGAGGAGGATCACTGCTGTCCCCCGAACACCGTGCCCTTGTCCCACCTTTCTTCCGACCAATGGTCCACTCTCTTTTCAGCAGCAGGACGTGCGGCTCTGCCTCATCAGCGCCCAGCCGGGTCAGCTTCCCCCAGGGCTGCTGCTGCTGCTGGCTCCGCTCGCCTCCTTTCGAGTGCTCCATTTGGATTCACATCTGACAAAAACAAACAAAGCCAACCCAAACCATCACGCAGCCTCCGGGGCCGGGGGGGAGCAGAGGGTTCCCTCTCCCGGGGGCGGGGGCCGGGGCC